GGAACCTTTTTCCGTTTATGTTGCTGAGCTAGCAGCAATCAACTTCGCATTGGGGATGATTTCCGATATGTCCATAGACCATTACTTCATCTTCTCGGAAAGTCGCAGTTCGATTGAGGCACAAGGAAGGCACTCATCTAATTTCCTTTCAAAGGTAAGGGAGCAGATGAGTTTGCTGGTCGAAAGATCATATATGATTACCTTTGTATGGGTCCCCTCACATTGCTCAATCCCAGGCAATGAGAAGGTAGACTCTCTCGCAAAGGTGGGCGCAAAACAAGGCGAGATTTATGATAGAAGAATTTCACATGATGATTTTTTTCCCATTAGTACGTCAGAGTTCTCTTTTAAGTTGGCAAAACGATTGGACAAATAATTCCCTTGGGCGGTGGTTACATTCCATTACTCCAAATTTTTCGTCGAGAGCGTGGTTCAAAGGTCTGGATGTAAGTCGGGGATTCATTCGAGTGATGTCAAGACTTATGTCCAACCACTACTCGCTAGACGCACATCTCTATAGAATAAACCTCGTTGATAGCAATATATGTAGGTGCAGAACCGGTTATGCTGACATCGATCACGCAGTTTGGTATTGCCCGGGTAATGACGCCTCCAGAGCACGACTATTGGATACCCTAGTGGCCCGAGGTAGACAACCCTTCCGTGAAGTAAGAGATGTATTGGGAACACGTGATCTTCCCTACATGCAGGCGATCTACGAATTCCTTTGTTTGTCTGATGTTAGAGTTTGATGTGACTATCCCCTCCTTTCCAAACAATTTCCCGTCATTGTGACCCAGTCTTATTATCCTCCTGTTCCTGTGCTACTTGCCCCTGCCCAGCCAGGATTTGGTCAACCGTCCGAGAGTAGTATCTGAAGGAGGCTTCAGAAACAAGTTTCCTACCTAGATCCTTCCAATCGAAATTGTTACCCATTAACCTCGAGCCCGCCACGAGTAATTGGTACCCAATACTAACCTAGAAATACTGCTATTTAAAATGTAAATCAAGCATTACTGATTTTGGCTCCGCAAAATGTCACACACGACTTAGCCTAGTAAATAAACGAACTAGTTAAAAAAAAGTCAGTCCGATGACTGACACTCTCGGCACAACACGGCACACTTGAAACACACTGAGAAAAGTGTTGACGCAAAATAAGTGTGTTGACTGACCACCCCTAGGACCACCCCTTGTATTCGCGTGAAATTTCCCCACTTTTTTGGCCATAATTACAGAAAAATAATACTTATCGCTTTTAAAATTGGGCTGTAAACAGTTGACACATGGTGTGTGTGTGTGTGTGTGTGTGTGTGTGTGTGTGTGTGTGTGTTCAATCTAACCCCCACTGGCCGGCAGTGGTATTATGGAAGAAATTTGCTTACAACAATCCTTGATGTAATAATAAGCAAGTTTAGTCCGGGAGTTAGAAAGCGATAGCTCTACTGCAGATTCAGCAACCCATTTCAGAATGCCTGGTAATTCACGTCCATTCCGAGGATACTTTCACATACAATAAGCCCCGCATGTAAACACTACCGTTATCATATGAATAATGGTACTGCAAACACACTTCCAGATTTCGAAATGTGATGTTTCGAAATCTGGCGCGTATTTAGTAATATATGGAAATATGCATTTATGATTGATTATAAATCAGAAGGATCTCACCAAATTCTGCCTCCGAAAAAGCACCGGTTTGTTCACTCGCGGTAGTCGAAAAAATCTTCCGCGTTGTTTTTACAACCGAACACGACATTTTGAATCACACGCGAAGTTTTTCATTTGCACCGAATTTTTGCCTGACACCTCATTTGCGTGCATCCTCCAGAAGGCAGAACGCCAGCACCAAGAAAAGAAAAAAAAAACCGGTAAAACTCTTCTTGGGAGGGAGGCAAAGCACCAAAAAGCAAGCGAAAAGAAAAACCGACCAACGCGACACCACAGCAACACAGCTACTCGAAACAAATTCTTTTCCCAGATTTTTCACGTTAATTACAATATCACTAAACAAACTTCCTTAAACGTGATAGATCTTAATTTACACTTGTTCATACGCGAAAACTAATATTTTTTTGATTTGGTACAATTAAAAAATATGCGGAAAACAGATGAAATCAGCGCCAGCGAAAACAAAATCAACCGTTCGCGGGCAGAGCCTACTCGGATCTCCCTGTAAACAGTTGACACATGGTAGCTTAAAATTAAAGTTCAGGATTCATCGCATGAAAAATTGGCTAAAAATGTCTATTTGTTTAATTCAAACGTTGATATCTTTTTTACCTGTGTGATGCGAGGTGATGAATTGGTAGAAGCTTGCTATATAATTATAAATAAAGGGCGTAAATAGTTAAGGAAATACAAATACATAAGAATTATAAACCACGTTAGAATTATTATAATTGAATTCACTACCCCCTTAATCCCCTCTCTCATTTTACAGCTGGTATAATCAGAGATGCCAGATTTGTTTCTGTGCAATTCCGTAGACTTATTCAAATCTACGGATTTCTACGGATTTTTTTTAGTCGAAGGTGATATATTTTTTTGTTTTAAGGTGATATTTTTTTTTTTGTTCTAAGGTGATATTTTACGTTAAATGATAAATCGATGAAAGAATTTTTTGAAAAACTACTAGGGACAGCCCTCTGGGGTTGTACGCAATGGTGACGCTGGCTACGTGGTCTTATATAATAAATGTTATTTGTTAACTGCAGCAGGACTTGTGTTTTGTGTAGGAATAGGAATTTGAGCGGGGTTCTTTCTGTTTATAGTCTTTAGTATGACTATGATTGCCCTGAAAAGAAACGTGTGATATGAGTTTTAGTTGGGTCATGTTCAGAAATTTAACTCTTTTGGAAAATCTTGGTGGCCCTGGAAAGGGCCTACAGGCATGAATACCATGATACTGTTGCACCTGTAGTTTTTGGCATACTTTCACTGATTGCTTCCCGGGGATCCTTGTTCAGCCATAACAACATGTGCGCATGAGGACTTCCACGGCCCAGAAAAAATCTGAATTTTAACTCTCTTCGCTTAGTTTTGAGCTATTCTTGGCATAAACAGTGAAATCGTTTACAAACTTGTATACAATATTGATAATTTATGCGATATTGCGCTTAAATTTACACGAAATATCGCGTAAATTTATGCCAATTCTAGCGTTAATTTTATGTGCGCTATATCTCGCTGAAATTTACATGAATTTTTCGAACGGTGGGTGTTGAAATTCAATCGTGTCAACCAGCTTGTTGAAGTACACACAGCACGTGACTGGATCATCATTGACCAGAGCTGCTCTTTGTAGTGCAGTCAATTCCTGGATAGGATCTGTTAATTCATTGCCATTGTGTCCTTCTGACAACCGATGTAGGAGAATAAACAAATGGGACCACTTCATCTCATTTCCACTAAGTGTCACATCATGATGAACAAATTTCTCTTCCTTTGTTGCCAATATGTACTGTACTGAATTCGGTATTGATTTGAGGAAGGATAGATTTCGCTCAATGCACTGCTCCATGAATAATGGGGTCTTTAAGGTTGACACGTGTAATGTTAGTGGTCCCCGTGCACTTCAAAGTGCATTGCAAGCCTTCGGCAACTCTAAGGCGTAGAATTTTCATTGTAATATGCAACAAATGTTGTGGTTTGGCCACACGCCTGTCTTGACGACGAGTTTCACTGGATGCCATCCGAGCCCCTGGTTTGAATTTCCGTAGATGGCCGAAACATATAGCAGGAAAAGCTATCTCGCCGTGCTCTTCATATATTAATGACAGATGAACACTGTTTTGCGTGAGATCGATCTCCAGGCATCAATAATTCTACAAGAAGCTAGACCCAACAAAGCACTCGAGATTGAGTATCATTTTAAGAACGATTCATTTTTTTAAAGATCGGTGCATGCAAAATAAATTACAACAAATCTCACTCTTCAAAGCTAGGAAATCTTTAATTTAATGTCAGATTGATTCCACCGTTGCTTCTCGTTCGTTGCTCTCGGAAGCTGGGAGAACCGAGCCAAGTTTCATGCCACGCAATAATCGGACGAGTGAATTCACCTTTAGCCGTATCAACCCTCGTTTCTTCTATCCACATCTATTGCCTGTTACAGTATTCTCCTCTTTTTCGCTTAGTTTAGTATTCATGCACAATTGGCTCTGTATTTTGTAGAATCCCATTTTTTGGTTAACTTAACTTAACTAGTGTAGCTTCTTTCAGAATTTATCATTTATAAATGATCACTTCCGTTGAAGAAAACAAGAATAGCGACATGCTTAAATCAGTGAGTTAGTATTACGTATTAGGTATAAAGTACAAACAAGTGGGAATCAAGGTGACGCATGGCACGTCACACATTCTTCCTATCGAAATCCAAAAACACGTTTGTATGTATGTCCATTAGATTAGCTAACCCCGATGATAGTAATTTGCGAATCCAATCAAAAACAGCTTAAATAGAATCCCCTGTTCCGGCCTCAATGCGCGCAACCGGACGAACTACTGTATAACCTAGTACATCCATTCCACCTTTCCCAACCATAGAGAGCATCTCATTTCCTGCTTTTCTTTTTTGCAGCGTCAATCCAACACCGACAGGATTCTCCACTGCCACACGGAACGGCTTTGATGTTGTTCTCGCTCAAATTAAATCATAATATTTTGATAGCATTAAATCACAGGGAATCCCATTTATTCCCCTTTTCCCTTTTTGATATATAAATACTCTGCACAGACGAAGGCACCGGGACGGCTTCATCCGAGGGGACGAGGTTGTGTCATCCCGCAATGGGTGTTTGCAGCTCGTGAAAGTTTTTGTTTTGTTATACCTATCCCATTCCATACCCTTCCAACCAACCTATATAGGACCTATTTCTATTTTCCGATGGCAGTGTAAGAATGCAATGGCAACGAAGAGAGTGGAGTGTATCCCTGGGATACGCTACGCTACCGGCTACCATCACTAGGGTGTTCCTTTTATCGGTAAAAGTACTTACCACAAGTTTCTCATTCAAGTCGACGTAGCCGTCGTTGTCGTCGTTCGCCGTAATCTACGGCTGATATTGAAGAGCGATCTGAAAAGAGAGATAACATTTTCATTAAATCTTCTTGAACTAATTTCAAAAATACTTGAAACGGAACTCATTTATTTTTGGAACAACGACGAGGAACGGCTGAACGACGTATGCAGGGACGCGGGGAAAGATGGAAACAGAAAAGCAAATATGAGAACGTAATAAAGCTTCCAATTGCCATTCGGAAGCGGCATAAACTTCGCCCGGCTTTCGGTGCTTGCTTCGCTGCTGCTATTGAAGTTTATGCACCAGAGGCAATTAGATTCTCTCTAAGTGTATGCGGGGAGGATATGTGTGTTGTGTGGTTGGGCTTTAAACTTTTTCCCGTACACGTTTTCAAATTTGAATGTTGTCTACCCTGCGCCGGGCTGGTGGCATGGCAAGGACAGAGCGCGCACCGCGAGGAGAATCAATAATAAAAACAAAATGTGATAACGATGTTCTTTCGAAATGGTTTATTATGCCGTACGGTGTGCTTGTGTGTAAAGAGGCGATGAACCTTTTGGTTGTATATTTATCAGTCAGCTGACGACGGCGACGGAGAGCCGCCTCGCGCTTTGAGTGGCTTTTGTTGTTGTGCATGAAACAAGCTGAAGGTGCGAGAGAGGGCTGCGCGCTAGAATTCCTGTTGTGCTGTTGGCTTTCGGCAGACACAAGCGACGAGGTGGCCGAGTGGTTAAGGCGTTGGACTGCTAATCCAATGTGCTCTGCACGCGTGGGTTCGAATCCCATCCTCGTCGGCGATGCTTTTTGTGGATAGGGACGTCGCTTTTGACATGTTTCTGGAGGGGTTTCCACACTTTAAAATCCATCATTGGGGAGATAGATAACCACCCCCCCACCTATGCAGTGAGAACAATCATTTCGAAAGGTTTTGAACAGGAATAAATTAATCAAAAGTTTAGTTTACTTTGGACTAACTTGAAAAGAAATAATTTTATTGATCGTTATTATCATATTTCAACCATATTAATTCCATGTTGGAATTTTTCAAATCAATCAATACAGTAATGACCCGCCTTTTTAAAGACCCCTTTCCGAAAAACTTTTCTAATGTTCTTCTACGAAACGCGTGCGTTTTTTCAGTGGTCTTATTGCACCTAAAGTATACCTAAACATCCATCTTGAAGATGAATGAGAAAGATTAGGAATTACAAATTTCGAAGAATTTGTTCATTTTCTCTGTAACTGAAATGGTAGCACATGTATAACCAAATATACAGTGGGGGTAATTCGTTTAAACGCAATGTCATTTTTGCGTTTATTTTCAACACAAAAGATCGAGACAAAAAATCAAATATAGTTTGTCATAGCCCATCAGAAGTCTCGTATTTGAGAACACAATTTGAACGGAAGTTCATTGTGGTCTCTGAAAAAATCCAATAAAGGTGATTTTAGAGGGGAAATTCGTTTAAACGCACACTAACGTAAAGCCGCATTGAGCGTACCTATGCTCCTGTTATCTTGCGCATCTGTCATATTTACACTGTATAGCCCTCGTTCGCCATTAACACGAGTTTAAATTTGCGTTGCGCGGTAGTTGTTGCTTGTTTTCGACAAAATGGGTAAAGGAAAGTATTTAAGCCAGTCGGAGCAAATACTGGTTCGAGAACTCAAAAGTCGCGGTGAGAGCAATCGCAAAATTGCACGTGTGATCCACAGATCGGAAGCAGCAATCAGGAACCTGCTGAAAAAAGGCAAGACGTATGGCGTAAAAAAGAAAACAAAGGGAAATTCGAAGATCACCAACCGTGTCCGAAACCAAATCATACACTGTAACTGGCGAGTACCCATTAATGGGTGAAAAAGTACCCATTTTGTGGTAGTGTATGGACCTGTCAAAAATTGCGTAAATGAAAATTTCAAATAGTGGGTACTTTTTCACCCATTTCCGAAACCTGTTCAGAGATCAAAAATGGGTACATATTTACCCATTATTGGGTGAAAAATATCTTTGTTGCACCATAACGTTGCTGACATACTTGGTTTACATTTTCGAGTGCATTTGTTCCGTTTTGAAAAGTACAAAAAGTGATATATATGAATAGTTTAAAGAATGGTGATAGCTTCAAAAAGCTTCAAGGTAAGAAATACTATATTTTTTTTTTCCTTTGGTTTGTTTTTTCCGTCGATCTTGTTTTCCGTGCTGAGCACCAATACTACCGACGTGCCAGGAAGGCAGCTCCCACACCTGGACCCTACCTATCGACCCATCAACTCATGAACCGGGGACCAACGGCTTTACTTCCCATCCGAAGGAAGGCGTGATCAGAGATGTTATGCCTCAGAACATCCCGGCGGCGCCGACTGGGATTGAACCCAAGCCTGCTGGGGTGAGAGGTAATCACGCTTACCACTACACCACCGGCGCCGTTTAGAAAGAAATACTATATGATTTGAATGATTTCTTAGCTTATAACGTTGTTAAAAGCATATTTGTTTCATTCCACAAATTTGAGTCCCATAAATACATTTTAAAAAATGGGTACTTTTTTACCCAGTTACGGAAAACAATGCGTTCTGGAAATGGGTAAAAAGTACCCCATGATTTGACGTATAAGCTCTTTACCCATTAGTGGGTAAAGACATTTTACCCATTTTATGAGTTTACCTACTTTACCGCGAAATGGGCACTTTTTCACCCATTAATGGGTACTTTCCAGTTACAGTGTACAAATGGGAGACTCTGGAAACTTCTCTGCTGCGCAAATCAAGCAAGAAATGGGGCTTTCCATTTCTAAGAGGCGTGTACGGCAGATTCTACACACTGTAACTGGCGAGTACCCATTAATGGGTGAAAAAGTACCCATTTTGTGGTAGTGTATGGACCTGTCAAAAATTGCGTAAATGAAAATTTCAAATAGTGGGTACTTTTTCACCCATTTCCGAAACCTGTTCAGAGATCAAAAATGGGTACATATTTACCCATTATTGGGTGAAAAATATCTTTGTTGCACCATAACGTTGCTGACATACTTGGTTTACATTTTCGAGTGCATTTGTTCCGTTTTGAAAAGTACAAAAAGTGATATATATGAATAGTTTAAAGAATGGTGATAGCTTCAAAAAGCTTCAAGGTAAGAAATACTATATTTTTTTTTTTCCTTTGGTTTGTTTTTTCCGTCGATCTTGTTTTCCGTGCTGAGCACCAATACTACCGACGTGCCAGGAAGGCAGCTCCCACACCTGGACCCTACCTATCGACCCATCAACTCATGAACCGGGGACCAACGGCTTTACTTCCCATCCGAAGGAAGGCGTGATCAGAGATGTTATGCCTCAGAACATCCCGGCGGCGCCGACTGGGATTGAACCCAAGCCTGCTGGGGTGAGAGGTAATCACGCTTACCACTACACCACCGGCGCCGTTTAGAAAGAAATACTATATGATTTGAATGATTTCTTAGCTTATAACGTTGTTAAAAGCATATTTGTTTCATTCCACAAATTTGAGTCCCATAAATACATTTTAAAAAATGGGTACTTTTTTACCCAGTTACGGAAAACAATGCGTTCTGGAAATGGGTAAAAAGTACCCCATGATTTGACGTATAAGCTCTTTACCCATTAGTGGGTAAAGACATTTTACCCATTTTATGAGTTTACCTACTTTACCGCGAAATGGGCACTTTTTCACCCATTAATGGGTACTTTCCAGTTACAGTGTACAAATGGGAGACTCTGGAAACTTCTCTGCTGCGCAAATCAAGCAAGAAATGGGGCTTTCCATTTCTAAGAGGCGTGTACGGCAGATTCTACACACTGTAACTGGCGAGTACCCATTAATGGGTGAAAAAGTACCCATTTTGTGGTAGTGTATGGACCTGTCAAAAATTGCGTAAATGAAAATTTCAAATAGTGGGTACTTTTTCACCCATTTCCGAAACCTGTTCAGAGATCAAAAATGGGTACATATTTACCCATTATTGGGTGAAAAATATCTTTGTTGCACCATAACGTTGCTGACATACTTGGTTTACATTTTCGAGTGCATTTGTTCCGTTTTGAAAAGTACAAAAAGTGATATATATGAATAGTTTAAAGAATGGTGATAGCTTCAAAAAGCTTCAAGGTAAGAAATACTATATTTTTTTTTTTCCTTTGGTTTGTTTTTTCCGTCGATCTTGTTTTCCGTGCTGAGCACCAATACTACCGACGTGCCAGGAAGGCAGCTCCCACACCTGGACCCTACCTATCGACCCATCAACTCATGAACCGGGGACCAACGGCTTTACTTCCCATCCGAAGGAAGGCGTGATCAGAGATGTTATGCCTCAGAACATCCCGGCGGCGCCGACTGGGATTGAACCCAAGCCTGCTGGGGGTGAGAGGTAATCACGCTTACCACTACACCACCGGCGCCGTTTAGAAAGAAATACTATATGATTTGAATGATTTCTTAGCTTATAACGTTGTTAAAAGCATATTTGTTTCATTCCACAAATTTGAGTCCCATAAATACATTTTAAAAAATGGGTACTTTTTTACCCAGTTACGGAAAACAATGCGTTCTGGAAATGGGTAAAAAGTACCCCATGATTTGACGTATAAGCTCTTTACCCATTAGTGGGTAAAGACATTTTACCCATTTTATGAGTTTACCTACTTTACCGCGAAATGGGCACTTTTTCACCCATTAATGGGTACTTTCCAGTTACAGTGTACAAATGGGAGACTCTGGAAACTTCTCTGCTGCGCAAATCAAGCAAGAAATGGGGCTTTCCATTTCTAAGAGGCGTGTACGGCAGATTCTACACACTGTAACTGGCGAGTACCCATTAATGGGTGAAAAAGTACCCATTTTGTGGTAGTGTATGGACCTGTCAAAAATTGCGTAAATGAAAATTTCAAATAGTGGGTACTTTTTCACCCATTTCCGAAACCTGTTCAGAGATCAAAAATGGGTACATATTTACCCATTATTGGGTGAAAAATATCTTTGTTGCACCATAACGTTGCTGACATACTTGGTTTACATTTTCGAGTGCATTTGTTCCGTT